GCCCCCGGGGGGGGGGGGGAAGCTTTGAGAATGCATTAAAAGTTAAAGTTGCTTTCTTTCTCTGCTTCCCTCCACCTATGGAGGGGAACACTGGCTGGGGAAGGGAAGACCGACCAGGGAGGCATGCCTCCCCTTTGCTTCCCCCCAACCACCCTGCCACACAATATGTGCGAAAGAGCCTCATGTGGCTCCCGAGCCACAGTGTGGCCACCCGTGGACTAATCACTGGCGCTGGGCCTCACCTACCTCACAGGGTTGTTGTGTGAAGGTTAAAATAGGAAAAGGAAGCACTGCCCTGAGCTCCTTTAGGGGAAGTGCAAGATAATAACACAGCAGACAGGCTGACATGCTTACATGGCTTGCGCTTCCACCCAAGCTGGAACAGGAGTTCGGTATAACTCAAAAAGCCCACATCCCTGTTTGTGAGCACTGGCTGGATCTAATAAAAGGCACTCATTCCCTAGGTCTGAATATTTTCTTGCGACCACATAGTTCTCTGATTTGAGTCCACTCTGGCTGCAACCCCACGCACACTTACTTGGAAGTCAGCCCCACTGATTATTCCTGAAGAAACTCAGTGGGGGCCCAGTTCATAGAATCATAGAGTTGGAAGGGGCCATACAGACCATCTAGTCCAACCCCCTGCCCTGCCCTGCCCAATGCAGGACCAGCCTAAAGCATCTCTGACCAATATTCGTCCAGCCTCTTCTTGAAAGCTGTCCGTGAAGGGGAGCTCACCACTTCCCTAGGCAGCTGATTCCACCTTGGACCACTCTGACTGTGAAAACGTTTTTCCTAATATCCAGCCGATACCTTTCTGCATGTAATTTAAACCCGTTGCTTCAGGTCCTATCTTCTGCTGCCAACTGGAACAGTTCCTTGCCCTCCTCCAAATGATAGCCTTTCAAATATTTAAAGAGAGCAATCATGTCCCCCTTGATCTCCTCTTCTCCAATCTCCTCTTCCAGGTGACACACCATGCCGTTTTCTCAGAAGTAGCCCAACGGCCACAAAAGGCAAACTCTCCTAATAGCAAGACAGGAACATTAAGAAATATGTGTTTACTAGTGCCCCAAACTGTGAAATAAATATCAAAATAGTTAAAATACCATCCTTTATATTGTTTTATTATATAGCTAAGTAATCCAATTACAGATTATTTAAACAAGAGACTGTTCACTGAGTATTCCAAACTGTAACAGTATAATATCATGGAGATATTAGGCTGGCTCACATGTTGGGAAAGAGGAAAAGAAACCAGGAAAAGCGACAAACATTATTTATAGTTGGCCTATTTTGCGGATGCATATAATGAATTGCATTTCTGAAAGCGTTTACTTTGGAGGAGTAGCATTCACCTACAGAAGAAAAACACAATCAGGGCTTGTTTACTACTCAAGAGTTCTTGCCCTCTGTTCAAGTTTACACTGTTAACAGATTGGAGTACATAATCCAACTGCATTATTTAGATACATAAGAAAACAATAAAAAGATGGCGTTTTAACTCTTTTGATATTTATTTCACAGTTCTGGTGGTTGTTGTTGGTTTTCTACCGTGAAGCTCATTTTTGCGCTACTTTACTGGCGTCCCCAGCGCATATCCCAAGTCACCTGAGCTTAAGTCAGAACCACGGACAGAGAGCAAGAGTTCAGAACTGCAAGGAAAAATGAAATTTAGAATGTTTGCAAATGTAAGCCCGTCCTAAGCCACTGGAGAACTGACCTGGATACCCCAGGCTAGCCTGATCTCAGCAGATCTCAGAAGCTAAGCAGGGTCGGCCCTGGTTAGTCCTTGGATGGGAGACCACCAAGGAAGCTCAGGGTTGCTACGCAGAGGCAGGCAAGGGCAAAAGCACCTCTGTTTGGCTCCCCAGCTCTGGATGGGCCAGGCTAACCCGGTCTTATCAGGTGTTGGAAACTAATCATGGTTGGCTGTTGTAGATTTTCCGGGTTGTGCGGAACTCTCTGTGTCCCCCCCCCTTCTTCTCACCTTGACACAGAGTACTCCTTCTTTCTGTGTTATACCTCTGAGGATGCCAGTCACAGCTGCTGGCGAAACGTCAGGTCCTATAATGCCAAGACCACGGCCACACAGCCCGGAAAATCTACAACAGCTAAACTCTAGCTGTGAAAGCCTTCCACAACATATTAATCATGGTTGGCCCTGATTAATCCTTGGACGAGGGACAACCAAGGAAGTCCGGGGTTTGCTATGCAAAGACAGGCTAATGGCAAACCACCTCTGAATGTCTCTGGACTCGACAACTCTATGGGGCTGTCATATATTAGTTTTAACTTGATGGCAAAAGGAAGAGAGAGAGAGAGAGAGAGAGAGAAAGAGAGAGAAAGAAAGAAAGAAAGAAAGAAAGAAAGAAAGAAAGAAAGAAGTCACCGGATCTCAAATCCAAACCGATGGCACTGAGCAAGCTTTCTCAAGAATGCAAAGGGGAGGAAAGGAAAAAAAGCCCCAAAATTGCAGACGCAGCGTCTCGCAAGTCATCTGAAAGCAAGTCATGCAAACACAGCGCCTGATCGAGGACTCTTCCCCCTCCGCTCCGCGTTGTATCCCATCCCTGTTTATTGCAACGTGACTCACACTCTCTATTGACGGAACTAGCCTTTCCAAGCCAGATTGCGACACACAGCTTGTAGGGCAATGCTCAGCCCTCTCAACGCTAGTAAACAAACAGGGGGACCCGCCCTGGATGGCCCTAAAATGCATGCAACATTGTTTTAAAAAGGAGCATTGCTCTTGCACAGGCACACTGCGAGCACCGGCCTCCTCCCCCCTCCCCAAAAGAGGGTCTCTTGTTTTGCAGCTCGACCACGTGAGAGCTGAACCTGGAAGAACCTCTCCGCTTGAGCGACGGCGCGCCGCGGCCAATCAGCGAGCGCACCGGGGGAGGCGGGCTCCGGAGGCCCTGGGCGTTCCAAGCGCCGAGCGGAGAACTTCGCCGTTCGCTGCGGCGGCTACTGAGGCTGGTGGCGGAGGGAGGGGGTCGCGGGCCTGGAACGGCGGCCGTCCTGCGCGAGGCTTCTGGAGGGGTTGGCGGCGGCGGAGGGGGGAGATCCTGCCAGGAGTCGCCTTCGCTGGGAGTCGCGGGTTCGAATCCCGGGTGGGGGAAGCGGAGTTGCGGGTTGGATGGAGCAGCCGTGAGGCCCGTGGGCATCTTGGGATAGTTGAGATTCAGGAGAGGGGGGACCAACTCCTCCTCTTTCCCCTCGGCAGCTGTGCAAAGGCTCAGCCCCAGGGTAGGAGTATAACTTAATCTGGGGGGTGGGGTTGAGCGTAGTTGTTGCTGGAACTGGGGGATCGGGGGCTCAGACTAGGGTTAGGGGGGGCATTTAATCTGAGTTAGGGGGCCCGTCTGACTGGGGTCGGTAGGAGGATCAGTAGGTTGGGGGCTCATTCTAAGATCAAGGGTAGGAGCTGGACTGAACCCAAGATCTAGAGGTCAAGTCTAGCTGGGGGTGGGTAGAACTGGAGCATCAATAGGTTAGGGGGCTGGCTGGAGGAGAGTGGACAGCCAGGGGTATTGGGGAACCCTGAAGGCAGAATTGCCGAGGACTTGGACTTGCAAAGGTCTTGGATTTGGCATTGCAAACTGGACTTGGTGGTCAAGAGAAACAGGCGGGTTGACGCTGCCAAAGGGGCAGTGGAGGGGTCCCATTGGGTGAGATTTCTGGGTCCCCCCGCACCATGGAAGAGCCAAGCGAGCGGAGCCCCCTTCTGGGGAGCGGCAGCTACGACGTGGCCCGTTCCCCGGGCGGCGGTGCCCCCAGTGTCTTCCGTGGCCGGCGCTTGGCCTGCGCCGGTGTGCTGCTGACCGAACTGCTGGAGCGGGCGGCCTTCTACGGCGTCACGTCCAACCTGGTGCTCTTCCTCAACGTCCCGCCCTACAGCTGGGAGGGCACCCAAGCCAGCCAGGCCCTGCTGCTCTTCATGGGGGTCACCTACCTGGTGTCTCCCTTTGGAGGCTGGCTGGCTGACGCCTTGCTGGGCAAGTTCCCCACCATCTTGGCCAGCATGGTCCTCTACCTGCTGGGGATGCTGGCCTTCCCCGCCATGGCCATCCCCACCACCATGCAGTGGCTCTGCGGCAGCGTCCCCCTCTCGTCCGTCGAGAATTGCTCTTCGCCCCTCAACGCCACCGGCTCCCCGTGCCGCCCGGAGGGGACCACCCGCTACTGTGCCGTCGCTGCCTTCATCGGCCTGGTCCTCGTGGGGATCGGCGTGGGATCCGTCAAGGCCAACATCACACCTTTTGGAGCCGATCAGGTCACGTATGCTGCCTTCCTTTTGCAGTGTGTTGACGCCTTGTGTAGGGAGTTGTGCAAAAATGTTCGTTCGCGCATCTGGGGGTGTGAGCTGGAGGACTGGACCACTGCAGGGGGAGGGGGGCTCCTCTTTGAATGCGTAAGCAACCTCCCTAGAAAATTAGTGCAGAAGGAGAAAGTTTCCACCCCTTAGCTTTGCTAACTGTGATAGTTTCCTCTTTGCAGGGAGTTTTTAATATTTCAACATGTGATCTTCTACCTGCAATCTCCACTGAACACATAAAACTATCATATGCTGAATCACCCCCTCGCTCCATCAAAGTCAGTATTGCCTACTAAGACATGGTGGTGGCTCTCCAGTGTCTCTCATTGGGGTCTTCCACATCACCTACCCCCTGATCTGTACTGGCAATGCCGAGGACTGAATCTGACTGCAATGCCATTATACCAACTTATTCCCCTGAATGTGTGAACAAGAGAGTTTCAGGACAGTTTCTGCTCTTGCTTTCAGATTTGTGACCTTCAGAAAGAGGGCAGTTTCTCTGTGGTAGTGGCGGTGCCTCATCTATGCTCACTGGCAACTTGCCTTTTCGGTCTCATGTGCTCGCCCTTTCTGTTTTACGCACGCCTTGCCGTGGCTTCTGAATATGATTTGCATTGGCTTTGGTGTTGTTTACTGGCCTTTAAGAGGTTTGGTTGCAGCGATTTCAGGCTCCTGCTTTAGTGAGCGCTTAGAAAGTTCGCTTGTGTTGTATTTGTTATCCGATTTATCAAATGTTGCCTCAAAAAACTGTGGCCAAGAGGTGGGATAGGAAGAAATAAATGTTCATTTTAGGAAGATGGAAAGTACTGATAAAAAAAGAAGAAGAAGAGATTGGATTTATGCCCCGCCCTTAACTACCCAAAGGTGTCTCAGAGCAGCTTACAAACTCCTTTCCCTCCCCCTCCCCACAACAGACCCCCTGTGAGGTAGGTGGGGCTGAGAGAACTCTGACAGAGACTGCTCTTTTTCAAGAACAGCTGTGCCAGAGCTATGGCTTGCCCAAGGCCATCCAGCCAGGTGCAAGTGGAGGAGTGGGGGAATCAAACCCGGTTCTCCCAGATTAGAGTCCACACACTTAACCACTACACCAAGATTGCCATGTAAGCACTGGTTCTTCAAAGGTCCAAGATCGAAAGAGTTCCAAGTGCTCTCAGGGATTCTGTCTTTTTCAGCTCTTCTTTTGTGTCTTCATGGACGATGTGGCCTTGATCCATAACTGGTTTTATAGGAAGTCCACATTAAGTAGTGGATGGGGAATGGCAAGCCAGCCGCCCTCTTCTGCAAAATGGAATCTGGCCAAATGGGTGGACCCCTTGTCCAAAGATAGCTCCTGCATTGCTCTTCCCCCATAACATCAGGGGAGGAGCCGTGGCTCAGTGGAAGAGCATCTGCTGGGCATGCAGAAGGCCCCAGGTTCAGTCCCAAGGTACTTCCGTTCAAACACGGTCCGGTAGGGAGTGATGCGGAAGACTTCTTCCTGAAATCCTGGAGAGCCACTGCCAGTCTGAGTAGACAATACCGGCCTTGATGGACCAATAATCCAGTTCAGGATAAGGCCGCTTCATGTGATTCTAACTCTTTTCACTGCCTTTGGATCATGTTGACATGGGCTGATCTATCAAGGAACACCTTTGTGTGGTTACATAAAACGCCTGCATCTTCTCTTGTGTGCAGTTAGGCTCCGCCTTCTTGTTAAAGAACCTGCAATATCACCCACTCCATGTGTCTCTACTTACCAGTGATGGTCCCCCTTTTTGCTACCTGTCCCTGGTCAAAGAGTGTCTCTGCCCCATTTGGGATGTCCAACCGTTGGTGTGCCACTCACGTTGTCTTTCTTCAGGGCACGGGTCTCTTCCTGGAAAGTCTAGAAGTAAGATCCGAGAATGGGGAACAGACACATCTATAGCATGTCCGTTCTTTTACGTGTTTGTGTGCGCTGAGGGCCGTCAAGTCACTCCCAACTTATGGCTACTCTAAGATTTTTTTTTAATTTTTATTTATGTTTTACAAAATATATCGTACATACATTAGTATTTCTGTACACATAATCTGGAGGAGTCTTGTTCAAATTTTGTCCTTTATCCATTTATATATCCCTGCCCATCTTTCTTGAAATACCTTATCATCTTTCCCTTGCAAAATTACTGTTAATTTGTCCATTTCTGCGACTTCCAATAATTTCATAGCTAGTTCCTTTCTCTTGGGAATCTTTTCTTGTTTCCAATATTTAGCTATTAAAATTCTAGCTGCTGTGAGCATATATACTAATACATACAATTCATTCCCTTTGCGTTCATTGGGAATTATGTTTAACAAGTATATCTCCAGACATAGTTTTAAATTAATATGTAACACTTCTGCTATTATCTTCCTTACAGTTTTCCAAAAACTAGCAATTTTTTCGCAGTTCCACCACATGTGGAGAAAGGTACCTACATTTGTTTTACACCTCCAACGGCTACTCTAAGATTTAATGTCCTCCAAAACATCCTATTGTTAATAGCCTTGCTCAGGTCCGGCAAACTCAGGGCTACGGCTTTCCATGCACACACTTGGGTTTTGAATCACACACGCACGCCGCGGTGATTTGTAAGAAATATTCTGTACTGTGAGAGCGTACGATTAGTCAGTTCTGCGTTCTTGAATGAATCGTTAAAAGAAAGAAGAGACAACACCGTGGCCTGTTACAAAGCTGATGAATGCCGCATTTGGTGGAGAGGGTGTTGGACAGTGGACTTTGGTATGAGAATGGCACTCAGAGTCACAAACGTGTTCCAACCAAAAGAAAAATAAACCAACAATGTATGCTAACCTGGACGGCCCAGGCTAGCCTGATCTCATCAGATCTCAGAAGCTAAGCAGGGTCAGCCCTGGTTAGTACTTGGATGGGAGACCACCAAGGAAGTCCAGGGTAGCTATGCAGAGGCAGGCAAGGGCAAACCACCTCTGGACATCTCTTGACTTGAAAACCCTGTAGGGTGGCCATAAATCAGCTGTGACCTTTTTTTTTAAAATTATTTTTTTTTAAATTTTATTTCAACTTAAACAATACACAAACTTTCATGGTTGTCAACAACAATAGTACTCAACAAGATAACTGCATAAGTATATACGAGCTTTGAAATAGTTTACAGGTGGTGAAAACCGTCATAATATTTTTTAGGAACATTGAATTTAGAGAACTCAGAATTAAACGTATGTTCAAGAAAAGGGAACCATTTCAAATGAAGATTAGGGTTTTTACGTGAGAGGTTTGAATTAACTGTTACATCGGATATTTTATCCATGGCGTAATAATCCCATATTTTCAAACGCCATGAGAAGAGAAGAAGAGAAGAGATTGGATTTATACCCCGCCCTTCACTACCCAAAGGTGTCTCAGAGTGACTTACAAACTCATTTCCCTTCCCCTCCCCACAACAGACACCCTGTGAGGTAGGTGGGGCTGAGAGAGCTCTTGGAGAAACTGCTCTTTTTCAAGAACAGCTCTTATCAGAGCTACGGCTTGCCCCAGGTCATCCAGCCAGGTGCAAGTGGAGGAGTGGGGAATCAAGCCCGGTTCTCCCAGGTTAGAGTCCGCACACTTAACCGCTACACCAAACAGTAATAGCCTATTTGGGGATTTCCAACAACTGGCAATGATAACCTTTGCAGCTGTTAATAAAACTGATATGAGGTCCTGCCTAATTTTGGGTATATGAGAGTCTGCCCAATAGTCTAGTAAAATAAGGTCAGGTTGCATAGGGACTAAATAACCTGTAATATCTTTGATAGCTAAGACTACTTTGGACCAAAATTGTTGTACAAAAACGCACGACCACCAGCTGTGACTTAACGAGACAAGGAAAAAAAAATCTTAGAAAGCTTTAGATAATTTGCTTTTTTTCCTGATACAGTACCACCTACCGCTTCTCTTTTTCCTCTTGAGAATTCCATCTTGCTGGGGACTCCGGAATGGGTTATAAATCCTCTGTTGATACTCTTCCATGCCTCTTTTTTGTTCAGGATGTCCTGCTTTATCAGATCAACACCAGTCTGAGCATCTTCTCTGCTTTTTTCTTCCTTTAAATAACTTTTTTTTTTTAACCAGAGAGACTCCTATGTAAATTGAAAGCGGGCATCAAGGCTTTCAAACGGAAGCTGGTAGAATAAAGATTCTGCCGTCTGTTGGGCCTCATATGTAGTGTGCTCTGGGTTATGTGCGACTGGATCAGGTCGAGTTGGTATCCTTTGAATGGCTGAGATACTGTAGGTGGAAGAGTGCCGACAGTTGACTCGCATGGAGCTCTTTGTTGGCCGAAAGAGGTTCTTGGCAATATGCAAAGCCAGGTTACTGCAGAATCGACGCTGCTATCTTGAGAGAGCTAAGCAGGGCCGACCCCGGCAAATTCTTGGAAGGGGGCCCTCCAAGGAATACCAAGGCTGGGATGCAGAAGGAGGCTGTAGTAAGCCACCTCTCTGAAATGTCCAAGCCCCACTAGGGGTGGCCAGAAGTCAACTGTGACTTCCATGGGCGTGTACACACACACACAAACACACACTCAACCCCCCCCCCCCCCACTATCTTGGAGGACTGATACAAGCTACTGATCAAAAGGAGTTCCATTGGAGTGTAGGATCTTTGTATCTGTGCACCAGCTATAAAACTGGATGTTCTTTATTAACATATTATGAAATGCTTTGATTAAGCATGTGCTTGTCTTATTACTTATTATTATCGGAGCTGCGGTGGCTCAAGTGGTTAAGACGCTGAACTGCAGGCTGTGGAAGGTCAGTAGTTCAGCAGTTCGAGACCCGCGTGCCGCATGATGGAGTGAGCTCCCTTCTCTAGTTCCAGCTCCTGCCAACCTAGCAGTTCGAAAGCAAGACATTGCAAGTAGATAAATAGGTACCACTTCAGTGGGAAGGGAACAGCGTTCCGTGCGCCTTGGTGTTTAGTCACGCCGGCCACATGACCA